TAAGTGCAGCAGAGGATGTATGTACATTAGAAGCAGGAGGAATAAGAAACATAATAGAAACAAATTAATATGCACCTTTAAGGGAAAACCCCCTGTGTGTTTAAGAGCGTGGTAGCTATGTAAATACAGCTGGTAACAATTAAAGTAAAAGGTTTCATTTGAATATGATATTGCACGTAATGTATCTTTTAGAAGCCAATGCTAACCTGTTCATTATGCCCTCTGTATGTTGAAATATTTAGCAGATGCTTCTGTCCAAAGCAACATAGAAGTGAGGAAAGCTTGGAGGACCAGCCTGCATACTCGCAGTATTTAGATTTAAGGGACTTAGTCAAAGGCCCAGGTGTATTTTTTGATTACTTCATCGGCCTCAGGATTCAACCCCACAACCTACACACATGAGCAGAGACCCTAAGGGTTGGGGGGGGTTCAATTCAGTTCGAAATAATGATTTTTCAAGGTGTCGATTTTCAAATTGCCACAAGAGTTAAAACTCAGTTTTTAAGTACAATTTTAAACGTAGGTTACTGTAATTATGTTGGTGACATTTGCTGCTTCTAACACACTGCACATGGAGTCTGGCACGGTACTATCATGAATGAGTGGAATGATACTTTTTCCAGCACCATCTCAATTTAAATGGGCAAACTTTGGCTTCTTTAAAGGTAATGGACACATGAATATGGCTGTCTACTTGGGTTCATGGTTTGGTTTTGGCACAGGATGACAGAATTTATTTTTAAATTGTTTATTATTAAAACTGCAATTATAGTATCGGAAGCTATAAAACAAACGTAAGACAATTTATCTTTTGATGTCTAAATAAGAAAGATGCTTATTTTCACAGTAAAAAAAAAATGTAAAATAAAACTGCATTATAACAATCAAAATTAAACAAATCCCATATTCTCTACAAGCAAATATGGTCAAATATCTGTAGCGATAGACACCCCTGTAGCTGTAGATATTTTTTTATCTGAATTTCCTGGCAAAAGCACCTTAAATGCCACAGGAAGACTCACTTACAGAGGTAGTTTCTGCCGTGCCGTGCTCCGATTGTACACACATCTGGATGATGTCGTCTCAAAGAAGTTAGCATGCTGGATGTGTTTCCAGCAACATATCCGAGTTCAGTATAGCAGAGACCAGACAGTCTTGGTCATATCAACTACTCTCTCTCTGGTGTTGGTGTAATTTATTAGGAAGCCAAATGTTTCCAAACTACTAATTTATGTGACATGGGAGGGTCTTTCAGTTCTCCAGCACTACAGGTATCCAACTCAGAGCCACAATTTTGCATAGTGTTTTCTGTGTTGAAGCAGTGTATTAATTCACTGTGCAATCTGAACCTAAAATGATGTAACCAAGCAGCACATGACAGATACATATACCGTTACAGCCTTTCTCTTTATTTTAAATGAAGACCTGAGCTGCTCTTTAGCAAGATCATGATACATACAGAATTGAGAACACAATGTTGATACTGTATCGATTCGGGAGGTTTCTGACAATAGTGGGATTATGGGTATCATGCACGTTCTTATACACACTGCCTTGAACATCCACACATCACAGCAAATTAAAATAGTGCCTAGAATCGCACGCAACGTTTAAATGCATGGCAGCGCATGGTAGACGAGGTTGCCTACACTAGTAACCATGCCTTCCTATGCCGTCTTAATGTGCCCCTGACATTCCAAACGATCTGGACATCAAATATCAGAGCGGGTCTCATCTTCAAGTTTTATGTCAGTTGTTTCAAAACAGTTTTCTGCTCATATTATTATGCAAAATGAGAGCACACTGACTATGGGCAAAAATTCAAATGGCGCTGATAACTGGGACGACTCACATCCGTGTAACGCAAACATTCATGGAGCCTCTGGCTTTTCAGATGCTATTTTAAGAAGCGTAATACAACACTTAACTTTTTTCTTTTTTTAATCTGAAACCGTTCTGGTACGTCAAGTCAAGCAGGCTGTTGATGAATTATGTCACTTTCTAAGCCATTTAACCTTCACAACGTATGTGGCTGACAGGCTCAGTCGAGAAGCAAGCAAAAAAAGGGAAGGGGAGAGAGAAAGCGATGACTCCGCTGACCTCTGTGCATGACTGATTTGAAAGCACAGACGAGTCATCCCCTATATGAAAGCTACCAATTTCAGTCCTCACTTATTAGACTTTTAATGGAAACCGACAACATCAGTATGAGACGCCTTCCACTCCTGCAGATAGAGCTGTAAAGTGCAGAAAACTGCGCGACATGCCGCTGGAGACGCTTTTAGCGGCCTGAGCTTCCCTGAAGTGGGGCCTCGTTCTCTAGGCGGACATGTTAGCATCACCGGAAGGGCAGCCCAGGATGGCAGACAGCGCAGAGTAAATGGCCGACAGGATGTAGGCGGACAGGCAGCCGAAGAGCCATAAGCACAACTCATCTTGTGATGGTGGCTTCTCAGATCTCGCGCCGTGAAAATTTTCTGTAGAGATGTGGGGGGGGGGGGGGGGGGGCAGTCTCAGTGCATGGGAGACACACGGCAGCATCATTTAGATAAAACACATCGCCAGAAGCGGAGCTGCTCGGGATTGGCCACCACGGAGATATAAGCCGGGGGGGGGGCTTCGCTGGTGGGCTCCGGGTGGAGGACACCAGGCTATCTTCTTTGGCCAATAACAGTAAAGCAGCCCAGAGATGGGGCGCCGTAAATTCCCGTCGGGTAATTAAAATCGATAGCGGAGATGCGCTCGGCAGCCGGCAAGGTCAAGCGGTGCAGTGCAGGCCGGCGTGTGGGACTAGCGCTGCGGCAGGCCGGCGCACAGATAAATAACGAAATGAATGAAGCCACCGTCACCTTGTGTCATTAGCCCTGCGGCCGCTGTGGTAACCAGCCTCTCGGGTCCTCCAGGTCACAGGGGCCAGCCTGGGGCGGTCCAGGGTGGGATGGTTTTCCGAAGCCCATGCACTGCACTTCAGCCAAAAAGCTGAGCTGCCAGTAGACCCGCCGCCTGGCACGACGCATCCCCCCCATGTGCTTGTGGCATGTGCGGACATCTGCCCCACGTCCCTTCTGCTTGGGCGGGCACTCGTGCAAGTGCATGGATATGCCTGTTCACTCAAATTGTGGTCTGCTTATAATTTTCACACATAATTACATAATATGTAATATTTTATTGATAAGACTATTAGCAGTCATACTTTTGCTGCTGTGATCTTAGCTAAAGGCTGGAGGCACCCTTGTTTTAATGCTCTTCTCACCCCTCCCCCACAGTCTTTCAGTGAGCAGGCTGTATCCTTCCTGGACCTCAGTTGCACAAGGGTTGACTGGCTAATTAGCATGGTAATGACCTGCAGGACACAGTTTGCTTAGAAGGGTGGGGAAGTGCGTTACCCATCCAGGTGGCCAGAGAGCAGATTTAGCGGATTCTGGACAAATGCCCCCTCTGGGCAGAAGAGGCCCATGGTCTCCTGGTGTGGGTGGCCGCCGCGTTCTTCTCCTCACGCCCAGCGTGTGCTGGGGGTCAGTAGGGGTGGGACGTGTGTGTTTGGGGGGGTGGGGGGTGTCAGCCGTATTAGTATTCTGCATAGATCGCCACACTTGCGCAGAGATGGGATCGGTTTCTGTTTTACCAGGGGAATAATCAGCCTGGCTTTTTTCCATTTGTCCTTTATTCCAGCAGAGCTTGGGTAATTTGGTTTAATTTTGGTGTTTCATCTCACTTTAAAGGGCCAGCAGCCGGTTTCTGTGTGCTCTGTGTGTGTGCTTCATATTGCATTTGTGTGTCGCCTGGGGTTTCAGGTGTGTGTTTGTCAAATGGGTGTGTAGGTTGTGTGGGTGCTCTGCACATACTCCTCTCGCTCACTGCTCCCCCTCTTAGAAGTCTATGGTGGGGGGGGGGGGGTCACTGTAGTCCGCTTGGTTCATTTGAAACATCCCGCCGCTTCCCGCTTATCAGCCGGACTCGGTGCGGCTACTATCGGGATCTGATACAATCTCCATCTGATGCTGCTGCTACAGGAGAGACACAGCCGCCTGTCAACAGAGCTTCTCATCTCCCTTGTCTCTCTCATCCTGGCCTTATCTTCTGTTCCCTCCCTCACTCTTCTACTCTTTTCCTGCTACAGTGTCCCTTTTTATATACATTTTTAACACTCAGCATTCCCTTGTCTTCGCTTGCCTCCTTAATGCTTGTAACACAAGTCCCCTTCCTCGCCTCATCTTTTCCCCCAGATAGCATCGTGTTATTGTTTCAACGTTGAATTATAGTTAAATGTGTTTAGCTATATGGTCAGAATTATGGTGAGTGTTAAATTATCAAAGTTGAAACTGAATTGATTTTTGGTCAGATTTTCAGTATTGAAAAACTGATGGTGGCAAAACCTTGATTCAATGTTGATATAAAGTGAAAGATTGAAGATTAACTTTGTTTCAACCTTTTTGTCTGATATGGAATCAATGTCATTTCAACATATGTGTGCTGTCTGGGCCCCTTCTTAACAATCCTGCACAGGCTATGAATATATTCCCGTGAATGAGACTGCACTCTTGTAATATGTACTTTTACTGTAACTGCAACATCACTCTCAGCGCTGGTATTAACCTGGAATATCGTAAAAGGAAACTCTGGAGTCGCGACATCCCCTTAATAAACAAGGAATCCACCAAGGATGCAGTTCTATTAATGATCAGACACGCTGTGCAGGATTGCTTCTGTCTTGCCACTGCCATCAGACACCATATAAGAGCAGACAGAGATGAGGAGTGTTGACAGAAAAATGGCCTGTCGTCTGCACTGATGAAATTTACCCGAAGTCTCAGATACGCCCATCCATTAGTTACTGTGTGGGACGGAAGTCGGCAAAACCATGTGCCAAATGTCAGGGTCAGAAAAACGAGTGATTGCTGGCTCCTGTGACTGTTTTAATGGCAGTGCTGATGTCCTGTTAAGAAGTGCTGTGAGTGTCACACCTCATGTTTCCCTTCATGTGTCGCTCTTCTCTTAAGGCAAAGACTCCCCTCCAAAAACGTGTACTACTACCGCTGCCCTGACCATCGCCGCAACTATGTCATGTCCTTCGCCTTCTGCTTTGACCGCGAGGATGACATTTACCAGTTTGCCTACTGCTTCCCCTACACCTACTCACGCCTGCAACACTACCTGGACAGCCTGGAGCGCAGGAACCTGGACTTCCTGCAGAGGGAGCAGCTGGGCCTCAGTGTGGTGAGTGCCTTTTTTTTCCTGCTCTGTAAGCTAAGCTATTCTTGTAGATGAGAGAGCACAGGTCTAGCCACACCTGGAAGCACCCAGCTGCTAAGATCCTCTCCACCGCTAATTTTGTTCATTACATTTATATTCATATTCTCGTCTGCCAGGTCGGAAACGTCACAGGGGTGGTCATGTGGGAGGCGGAGGCAGCCGGTGGGGGTGCTGGGCCTCGGGGTCATTTCTGGGGCTGTTCTGTTCCCGTCTCAAGCCTCCTGTCAAGCCGATCGCTTTAATCAGGGGGTACTCACCTCTCTGTAGAGCAGGTATTGGATTGTACACAGCGCCTGCAGTCCTGTCTCGGTGCTTATCAAATAACTGTAGAAGAAAAACTCATTAGAAATGCTTGAAAGATTATGTTTTTTTTTTCTTTTAACATTTGTCAAGGAGAGTTAGCTGCAAGGGACAATGATGAAAGTACATTTATTGATAAGGAACTGTGTCCCAATATATTAAAACGAGGAAATTTAGAAGGTAAAATCACACATTAAGTGTATATGTACATGACACCATATATATGTATAGGAGTTGAGGAAAAAATCACAGAAACAATTTATAATTATCAGACCTAATAAGGAGCACGGCCTTCAGATGGCTTCACTTCCTGGAGTGCTGTTGGGGGTGGGGGGGGGGGAGGTATTGAAAAGCCTGAACTTCATTGAGGGATAAAGGAAGTGAAAATCTACACTGCTCAAAAAAATTAAAGGAACACTTTGTAAACATCAGATCTCAATGGGAAAAAAAGTCATGCTATATATCTATACTGATATGGACTGGGTAATGTGTTAGGAACAAAAAGATGCCACATGGTTTGATGGAAATGAAGATTATCAACCATACAGAGGGCTGAATTCAAAGACACCCCGAATATCAAAGTGAAAAAATGATGCGGCAGGCTAGTCCATTTTGCCGAAAGTTCATTGCAGCAACTCAAAATCGTACTCAAAAAAGTAGTTTGTATGGCCCCCACGTGCTTATATGCATACCTGACAATGTTGGGGTATGCTCCTAATAAGACTATGGATGGTGTCCTGGGGGGATCTCCTCCCAGATCTGGACCAGGGCATCACCTGGCGGCGTCAGATGGACCAAAACATAATGTCCCAGAGGTGTCCTATTGGATTTAGGTCAGGCGAGTGTGGGGGCCAGTCAATGGTATCAATTCCTTCATCCTCCAGGAACTGCCTGCATACTCTCGCCACATTAGGCCGGGCATTGTCGTGCACCAGGAGGAACCCAGGACCCACTGCACCAGCGTAGGGTCTGACAGTGGGTCCAAGGATTTCATCCTGATATCTAATGGCAGTCAAGGTGCCGTTGTCTAGCCTGTAGAGGTCTGTGCGTCCCTCCATGGATATGCCTCCCCAGACCATCACTGACCCCCCACCAAACCGGTCATGCTGAACAATGTTACAGGCAGCATAACGTTCTCCACGGTTTCTCCAGACCCTTTCACTTCTGTCACATGTTCTCAGGGTGAACCTGCTGTCATCTGTGAAAATCACAGGGCACCAGAGGCGGACCTGCCACTTCTGGTATTATATGGCAAATGCCAATCGAGCTCCATGGTGCCGGGCAGTGAGCACAGGACCCACTAGAGGATGTCGAGCCCTCAGGCCACCCTCATGAAGTCTGTTTCTGATTGTTTGGCCAGAGACATTCACACCAGTGGCCTGCTGGAGGTCATTTTGTAGGGCTCTGGCAGTGCTCATCCTGTTCCTCCTTGAACAAAGGAGCAGATACTGGTCCTGCTGATGGGTTAAGGACCTTCTACAGCCCTGTCCATCTCTCCTAGAGTAACTGCCTGTCTGCTGGAATCTCCTCCATGACCTTGAGACTGTGCTGGGAGACACAGCAAACATTCTGGCAATGGCACGTATTGATGCACCATCCTGGAGGAGCTGGACTGCCTGTGCAACCTCTGTAGGGTCCAGGTATCGCCTCATGCTACCAGTAGTGACACTGACTGTAGCCAAATGCAAAACTAGTGAAAAAACAGTCAGAAGAGATTAGGATGGAAAAATGTCATTGGCCCCCAACTGTTAAACCACTCCTGTTTTGGGGTCGTCTCATTGTTGCCCCTCTAGTGCACCTGTTATTAATTTCATTAACACCAAAGCAGCTGAAACTGATTAACAACCCCCTCTGCTACTTAACTGACTAGATGAATATCCAAGAAGTTTAGTTTACTTGATGCTATACTCTGATTAATAAGCGTTCCTTTAATTTTTTTTGAGTAGTGTTTGTCACATTCTCAAACTTCCCGTAAAGGTCCGTGATGATTGGATCTGGTGATTGGGGAGGCCTTGGAAGGTGTTTGACAAAATATGGCTGATCATGAAGCCACTCTTTATATTCTGTAGCAGTGTTTAAAAGTGAATTATGATCATATTGTTAAAATATTTTGAGGGAACAGCATTTGCATCACAGGGTGCACCTCATCCTGTAAAATGGCTTCATAAGATGCTTTGCCGCTGAAATTCAGGAACTGAATTCTGGTTCTGAGTTCCTGGGCTACTTCCATATGTTAGGATCAGGAACTACCTCCCAAGAGCTATGGTTGGGCTGTGTTCCTCTGGTGGGAATGCAACAGAAGTCCTGGGTTCCTGAAAAAGTTCCTAGTTCGTGAAAAAAAACTTCCTTCAATGAGAAACACTTTGGCAATTATGACTATGTAAAGTAACCATCAAACTGAATAACTTTCTTGGCTGCCCTTGCCAGCAACGGGATGTAGGGAAAAGGGAGAATGATCACTCATCAGACCATATTCATTTTTATCATTTCTCAGGGTCCAAGTTTGTGTTCTTCACATCAGGTCATGTGTCTTTAATCATTGACCTTGGATGTAAGTTAGAATAGAATAGAATGCCTTTTATTTTCATTGCACAAATGTACAATGAAATTAGGTGTGTCCCCAGAACAGATTCAACACACACTAGCATGGCTCTGCATATTCAGCTACACACACATATGAAGTAAAAATATATATAAATAGTATTGAAGTGGTTTTATTTACAGTAATTGCCATGAGTCCCTGGGATATTGCACTTATGTCCCATTGATGCCCTGGGTGACAGTGAAAGATGTTAAACTGGGGGGATGGGGGGGGGGTACTTTGATGCAATGAATGTTATTTGACTGAGTTCAATTCTTTGGTAGTGCTCAGGTAGAAGCTTTTCAGTGGTCTGGAAGTGAGTGTAGGGTATCGGGTGTAATGTGTAGGGTGTAGGGTATCGGGTGTGTGTAGTGTGTGTGTAGGGTGTAGTGTGTAGGGCAGGGGTCACCAACATGGTGCCTGCTGGCACCAGGATTCACCCAAGGACCACATGAGTCGCCCGCGGACTTGTTCTAAAAATAGCACAATTCACCAGTGAGCAGCATCTAAAATTTATTTTTATCCTGTTGCTATTCTTCTTTAATCATATTTGCATTTATATAGATTTGGAAATGACAATATCTAAAAAAAAAGGCATTTAACAAGTTTAGATAAGTTTAGGAGGGCGTTTTAAACTGATAGCTCTTCATATGGCTCAGTACCCGTGAAGTAGCTATCAGTTTTAAAAAGGTTGGTGACCCATGGTGTAGGGTGTACGGTGTAAGGTATAGGGTCTGTGTGGTGTGCGAATAGGGCAGTAGAGTGCAGAGGTGGGGGCCTGGGTGAGATGGGTCCCTGTTGATTCTCGTGGCCCTGGGTGAGATGGGTCCCTGTTGATTCTCGTGGCCCTGGGTGAGATGGGTCCCTGATGACTATTGTGGCCATGGGTGAGATTGGCCCTGTTGATTCTCGTGGCCTTCCAGAGGGCAGCAGAGTGCAGAGGTGGGGGCCTGGGTTTGATGGGTCCTTGATGATTTTCGTGGCCCGTCAAAGACATCAGATTCTGTATATGTCCTCTAGTGAAGGTAACTGAGTGTTGGTAATTTTTCTGTGCCAATATGTTGTCTCTCTGAAGACCCCTCTTGTCAGCTATGGAGCAGCTAGCATACTGTACCATACCAGGATGCCACAGGTGAGTATGCTTTCCACAGAGAAGTGATAGGAGGACACCAGCAGCTGCTTGGACAGGTTAGCCTTCCTCAGTATCCTTAAGAGGTACAGCCATTTCTGTGCCTTCTTCACCAGAGAGGTTGTGTTGAGAGGCCATGTGAGGTCTTAGGAAATGTATGTGCCAAGGATTTTAAAACTGGCTACTCTCTCCACTATGTCTCCTCTGATATATAGAGGAGCAGGTTCCTCTTCCTGCTTCCTGAAGCTGATAATCAGCTCCTTTGTTTTGGATGTGTTGAGTGCCAGGTTGTTGATGCAGCACCATTCTGACAGTTTGCTGACCTCGTCCCTATAGGCAGACTCTTCACTGTTGCATATAAGTCCTATCACAGTGGTGTCATCTGCAAACTTGATGATTTTATTTGTACTGTGTGTTGGTATGCAATCGTGGGTATATAGGGAATAAAGAAGAGGGCTCAGCATGCAGCCTTGTGGAGCTCCAGCGCCGAGTGTCAGTGTTGGGGAGTGGTGAGTCCCCAGCCTAATAATCTGTTTGTTAGGAAGTCCTTGATCCATCCGTACATGTGCTGACTGACTCCCAGGTTGAGAAGTTTGGTCACCATTCTGCTGGGGATGATCATGTTAAAGGTAGAGCTGAAGTCCACAAATAACATTCTCACATACATCCCCTGGTGTTCCAGGTGAATCAGTACATTAGGATAAATTGATGGCATCTTCTGTTGACCTGTTGGCTCTGTAGGCGAATTGGTGCTGGTCCCGGGTAGGTGGAAGTGAAGATTTAATGTGCCTCAGTAGCAACTTCTAAGCACTTCATTATAGTGCCGGTGAGAGCTACGAGTCTGTAGTAATTAAGGCTGCTGATTGTTGTCTTCTTTGGGACAGGTACAATGGTGGCAGACTTAAGGCATTTGGGGACAGTGCATTGTGACAAAGTGAGGTTAAAGATGTTGCT